CCAACTAATTTAAAAATCTGTGACCTCAAAATAATTCGTGACGTAAAATTTTTTGATCTGTGACCTCGAAATAATATGTGAACAAAAATTTTGACGATATGTGACCAATAAATAAATCTGTAACTTATAATTATGAATATGTGACAATTAATCACAAACTGTGACTTTATTATCTTTATTTAATCAATATTTTTAATTAATTAAATCATACCTGATTTTTGAATTTTTAAACTATTTACCTTATTTTTGAATTAAGGTAAAGAAAACACCTTAAATATGATTTTTTCCCTATAATATTTTTTAAAATTATAGTAACATCTTTTCAACAGCAACAACACAATATTGTTCCACAATGCTGATATAAAAATCATACTTCCAAAGTACTAACATAACAATCTTTTAAATATCATGTCTTAAAATATTACGCTCTTAGGTAGTAAATATTGACATACAGAAACGATGTAGTGAACATCGGTACTCATCTTATGTTAAACATCGATGACACGTTATATAAATTCATTGGTGGATTTTGAACAAATGATTCACATATTTTTGACTATACACTTCATCAACATTTATCAAATCTTACTAAAATCTGATTTTTAATTTATACCAAATAGCAGCTTATTGAATATTAATTGAATTGTAAATTGTGTTTGTCAAGGAAAAGCACAATTAAAAACAAATCTTGTTCAAGAATGAACACTTCACGATACATGTATTTTAAAAAAAAAAATGTCTTATGTACAATTGTATTGTTAAAAAAAAGGAAAAAAAAAATCATTTAGGCTGGAAGGCGACCCAGGTCAAATAATAATAATAATAATAATAATAAATCAAGACAACCTATATATTTAATTGAAAATCAAGACTTCACATTTATAGGGTAGAACTACAATTACAAGGATACGATAGTTATTTATAAATGTTAGGAACGAGACGATGTTATATGACACTGTATGAAATATTGATCACAACAATAAGAACACAAGAATTTTACTTAATAGGGGAATTGAAGATTTTATTCAATTATAATGGAGAGATAAATTAAAATAATATTGTGTTCCTACATAATTCTAACTTTTAGTAATAAATTAACTTGTGAAAAAAATCTAATTTTTATAGGAGTACATGTCAAATACTAATAATAATCCTGAAGATAGAAATTAGATCAAAAAACGCGTAGAATAACAAAACAAAGAAAACCACGAACAGTCACGACGCTCGAGTGCCAGGCTCTCTGTAGGCGAGCGTCAAGGGGCGGCAGGTCTCTATTGAAAACTCTGTTTTGCCACTCGAGCGCCCAGCTAGCGCCGTAACACCATTTTTCTCCTTGGACCCTATTTTGATGTCTTCAAAACTCAATACATCAAACCACGTAAAACTCAATACCCGAACGAGGTAGAGATAACCCGTTTAATTGTGTATCAGGGCGGGGAATTTTGCCTCGGGGCGAGGGCAGGTAATGGGCGCCCCACCACCTTAAAATTTTTTTTTTAGAATTCAATACTTAAATGAAAAATTTCACAAAATTTTCTTAATTCTAATAGAAAATAACAATTAAAATTATTTGTCTAAATCTAATGAATATAAGTAATAAAAATAAATTATCAAAAAAAATAAACGGGCAGTAAACAGGGAAAGGACCCCGCCCTAAACGGGTAAAGGGCCCATTGCCATCCCTAACCAAAACTGGAAAACATATCCTGAAACATAATCAACACTAAATATTTTTGTAGAAAGCTCCATGTAAAACTAAACACTTTCAAATACACTTAAAACATGCGCAACAAAATTAGTTTCCCCGTACATTTCTCCAATGGATCTTTGAATATGATGACATCGTAGGTGATGGTAGCAAGCGACATTACCCATATCCTCTAAACTCGACTGGGTTTTATTCATCAACACGGACCAAAACCAAATCGCAATGATATTGTTCCAAACTGAATACACAGTAGTATTAAATTTTTGCTGATTGTTCTTCAACAATTTTGCACAACTTTGCAGGATGTATAATTGAGTCTTTTTTATCACTTCAATACAACTCGAACATCTTTGCAAACCATCAAAACTTCATCTCTACCAAAAAACTTGTACCCTTTTGAATCAGAATAGCCAACGAGATAATTTTTTTTTTCCAAATTCGGAACATGTTGAACGTAATCAACTGTTCTAAATATTCCATCTAACAACTTAAGTTACTCTACTAAGACCAGTTATTTGACAAGGTGCATCGTTTTCCATGACACATTTCAAAACTGTTTCATATGTTGTAAACAAATCCTAATTGAGACACATATGAAAAGTACAAGCTCAATTCACAATCCAATCCTCGTTAAGTTTAGATTCAATGTAAGAAATAAACAAAAGATCCCCATAACTCAAATAGTCCTTTGCAACATCAACTTCGTTTGAAGTATCTGATTGTCTTCCTTTCTGATTTGCACCCAACGTAGCTTTATTATACAGTTTGTTGCAATCTCTCTTAATGTGTCATTTCTTCTTGTAATAAAAACAAACTTAATTACTGAAATTGAATTTCAACTTGCCCCTTCCGTGACTAACGTGAATAATATGGTTTTCTCTATCTCTAGCATGATGTCCAACCAGATACTTCATATTCTTCTTTGAAAATAAAGCATCATACACATTTTCAATTGTGAGAGTATTACGACTATACAAAATCATGTCTTTAAACGATGTAAACGAAGAGAGCAATAAACACAAAAGAATTAAGGCTAAATCTTCTTCATCATATTTTACTTCTAAAATCTCCAAATCAGTGACGATTTCTTTAAAAACAATCAAGTGATCTTCCAAAGATCAACATTCTGTCATGCGATGAGAATACAAACGTTGCTTCAAGTGCAATTTGCTAGTTAGACTCCCAATCACGCACAATTGCTCCAACTTCAATTATAACGCAGCTGCTGTTTTCTCCTTCAAAACGAACTGGAAAATATTATTCGAAAGATGAAGATGAATTTGTGAAAGTGCATTCTGATCTTTCCGTTGTTTCTCACTGGTCGTCCAGTTGTGTACATCTTGTTAAATCTCAACAATGTATCATCCAAATTTATCTGAGTGAGTACTGTTCGTATTTTCACCTGCTACAACAAGAATCTAGTGTTGCGATCTAAAAGCAAAACTTCATATTTCGTGGTTGCAATCAAGAACAAAGAAATCTCGAACAAATCAAACAAAAACTCTGATACTACTTGTTAGGAACGAGACGAGGTTATATGACACAATATCTTCATAACTAGTGTTGTTTAAGAACACGAGAAATACGAATTTAATTTGACAGATAAATTGGAAATTTTATTCAACTGTAATAGAGAGAGAGAAATTACAACAATATTGTGTTCCTACACAATTCTAACTTTTAGTAATGAATTAATTTGTAAAGAAGAGTCTATTATCTATAGGTGTACCTGTCAAATCCTAATAATAGCCCTAATATGGAAACTAGGTAAAAAAATATGAAATAACAAAAAAAAAAAAAAAAATCCCATATAGCCTCTACGCTTGAGCGCCAAGCGAGCGGCAGGGCGAGCGACAATTCTTTGTTGAAAATTTTGTTCCGTCGCTCAAGCGTCCAACTAGCGCTAAACTAGCGTCGTAACATCTTTTTTCCTCTTTGGACCCTATTTTGACGTTTTTGAGGACAATACACCAAACCACGCAAACTTTAGATGAATTTGGGTGACAAATCCAACAATAAATAATATTTAATTTATGATATAATTTACTTTTAATTCATCTTCATTGATAACAAAATATTTGTTTTGAAAACACTTTATCAAACATTTCATTACAAGAATTGCATTAATTTACTTCGCAGCATTCAATTGTTCACATTCAATTTTTTTGTTATCTATCCATCTTAAGTCAAATTTCAAAAGCAAAAACTCACAGCTGCATCACTATCTTATGTACTTCAATTAAGCATTTGCTTGACATAGCTTACTTGGAATTTATTTGTTGTCAAACTCATTTTCAATTGTATATTCTTTCAATAAAACAACTTTAAACTTAAGATTATAGTCTTTATCTATATTTTAAACACACATTCTCTAATTATTATTAATTTTATTTCAAATAACATCTCTTGAACAAACATTTACACTTAAAAATATACCTAGGTATATTGGGGTGCAACCAGGGACGGATGTAGGGGGAGCCTGGTCCATCCTATTGAATTTTTTTTGGTAGAAATTTTTTTTTTTATGTAAAAAGAAAAAATTTCATTTACAATTTTTTTTTTTTTTTTGCTCGACTTGTAATTCGGTCCTAAATCTGTTCCCGAGTGCAACCATTTCTCCTTTTACAAATCTCGAGAACTTATGTCTCGAACATTTGTTGGTATAAGACAATTGACGAACTTTATTACATATTTATTTTCTTTAATTTCATGTAATCTTGTTTAATCCAAAATGCAATATATACTCGGCACTACAACAAATAATATTTACAAATGGCATAACCCTAAAAACAATTTGCAAAAGACATAATTTTACATCTGAAATTTTAAGGAAGTTATTTTTAATTTTGGAAGGAAAATAGTGAATTAAAAAATCATAATATAATAATTAAGAAATCAAATTTTGAAAAGAAATTATTATCACAAATTCTGAAAATGACCACTGTGTCACTCAGTGGGTTGAGCTTATCCAATCCAAGAACGACCACTGTAAAGAATACGCTCCTTAACATGACTGCAAGCCGGCTACCTCTCGCTGGGGATTCTCGGACGTTACCGATCCATTTTCCGGCGAGCTATTTTGCCCCTACCCCTCTTAAAAGTTTCACTTTCCGCCGTAAATTCGCCACTCCAACAAACAATCAAAGAACGCCACTAACTCTTCGCGTTCATGTTCAATGCCACTGCAGCTCTATCACTATCGATGGAAATCACTCCACTATTTTCACTCACTCGAGTATGTACAAGTTTCTTAGATTTCTTTTTCCACACTCACAGTGTCATATTTTCAAACAGATTGAGGCTATGTGCTGAGTGTTGGACTTGGCCTTAGCTGTGCCAAGCAACTTTGATTATTATTATCGACGTGAAATTTAACATAAAATGTTCTGATTTGAGAACATTATTCTTGAATTTCAACTGCTTTATTTATAATGCCAAACTTGTTAAAGAGTAGCCCAGATTTCTCGTTTAAGAGACGTGGAATTATACCATTAACACAATGTATTCAGTTCTTGTCTGATTGATCTAATTTATTTGTCGGGTTTTGTTTTCTTAAGGTGCAATGCTGTTTTCACTATTTCAAGAAATTGGGTTCAATGAGAGAGACACTGAAACATTATTGGATACCCACTCTGCTCTCAGGTTCATGCCTTTTGAATCCATTCGTAGTAGAATTCATTCCTTACAATCCGTTGGAGTCAGTGGTCTTTCTCTTTCTCGATTAATTGCGAAGCGTCCTGATATATTGACAGCTAAAGAAATCGAGGCATTGTTATATTTTCTTGTTAATGATGATGATGATTTAGATTTGAATGGAAAAGTAGAGCCTGTGCAGCTCGAGCGGCTTCTTAATGCAACAGACCCCAGATTTCTTGTGGGATTTGAGAGAAAAGTGAAGTTGCTAGTTCAATACGGTATTCCCCAAGAGAAACTCGTTCATGTGCTTAACACTGTTAATTTGACTAAGGCATTTTGCCTTAAGTCTTTTGAAGAAGTGGAGAGAATGCTTCATTTCCTGAATCGTTTTGGTGGCGTTAGTTTGATTCTTCGCCGGCCTGCAATTTTGAATTATGATCTGGAGGCACAATTGGCTCCAAGAATCGAGTTTCTCTTGGAGTTAAGTGGGGGAGATGAGAAAGCCACTGCAATCGTATTGCACAAACTTCCGTTCGTATTAGCCTACAGTGTTGACCATTTAACAGACCATGTCGAGTTCTTGAATTCTTATGCGGGTTTAAGCTATCAAGAGATATTTAGGATAATTCTTGTTTACCCGAACTTGTTTAGTGCGAGCAGGAAGAGGAAATTGCATCCCAGAATCGACTTTCTTATGCAGTGTGGGTTGAATTCACAGGACATATTTAAGTTTTTGATCAAGGCACCCTTGTTCTTAAGTCTGTCATTTGAGGAGAATTTAGCATGTAAGCTGGTTTTCTTGGTGAAGATTGGCTATGAGAATAGGACAAGGGAATTGGCTATGGCAATGGGAGCTGTTACACGTACCAGCTGCAAGAATTTACAGGAGAATATTGGGGTATTCTTGAACTACGGATTGACTTGTCAGGACATTTTAGAGATGAGCAAGAAGCACCCTCAAGTTTTGCAGTACAACCACGATTCTTTGGAGGAGAAGATGGATTACTTGATTGAGGAAATGGGTCGTGAAGTTGGAGAGCTGTTGTCTTTTCCTGCATTTCTTGGTTACAAGCTTGATGGAAGGATTAAACATAGGTATGAAGAAAAGAAGAAGATTTTAGGTGAAGGAATGTCCATTAACAAGCTACTGAGTGTATCTGCAGCAAGATTCTCGATGAAAAGCAAGAAGAAGCATCCTGTGAACGTGATTGACAGTCAGAGTGAAGTTGAATGAAAAAGAGAGGACTGTGCTATTATTATGGATAAGTAAATATTTTCTTGGAGGCATTCATGCTAAAATGGATGCACAAATATTGTGGTTTAATTTCCATGTCCGAAGTGGGGAATCTTGACAATTATTTTTTCTTTGTGAACTGTAAAATTATTGCTAATGGACACTCTATGTAGTTTCATGGGATTGAAGAACGGGAAGACAGAGAGAGTGAAAATTATAACTGTGCCTAGTAAATTCAAGAGCAGGTACTTGTGTAGAGTGAGAGAATAGAGGATTCAAATCCAGGTATAATTTTTGCGTGGTCGTATTAATCCATTGCTGTTAGTAGTTCTTGAGATTTTCTTGTACTTTAGATCAATTGAGTGGCAATACAGCAAAGACGATGACAGTGGCTTTGAACAATGTGTCTATAAACTGAGTTTTTTAGATGCTATGAGTTGGATCCTGTTAAATTTCCTGAAACTATAACCTGTTTAAGAATGATTTTGTGCAGAAGCAATTTATTTTATAAATGCCTATTATTCCAGCTCATATTTTTTAATCCATCCGGATATTTTATGACTCTTCCGAAAGGAAGACTAGCAATTTGATCATTATCCGTCTGTCTACGTTGGATGGTAAGACCGCAAGAGTAGCTTGAATAAACATGTGTAGTTTGGTATAATGGCAGTAATTGGACAACCGCAGAAAAGGGATATGGTGAAACAGTTTTTCCAATGGGGAAAAAATATGAACTGGGAGTGAATAAAAAAAATTTATGTAACCAAATCCAAATTTATTGGAATAAGGCTTACTTCGTGGTTTTTGCTGTTGTTTGTAGAGGGCAAGTTGATCTAGAAGCTGCTGATTGAGCTAATAGAAGTAATACGTATCCCTGATGTTTGAAATCATGTTCTTCTTCCATGATAGTCTATGTTCTGTACTTCTGTGCCTGATTCATTGCTAATATTTCCAGAAAGTAAAATGCGGTGCTGTAAAAAATATTGGCTTGGCAACTTTCTAGAATGGCTGTGGATTTTCACTAAGATCAGCTGCTCCTGCATTAGGCAAAAGTTTAGGTTCTTGGAATACATTATAAAAATATATTTCATTATATCTACAATTTTTAGTTAAAAAAAAAAAGGCAGAAAAGAGTTCAAGGTAGGTCCAAACTAATAACAGGTTTCTCTTTGCCAAACAATTAAATCAAGTTATGTAAAATCCCTTTCATTACTAATGGATTATTTTGGTTAAAATTCTGCAAATTAATTTTTTTTCCGCGGTATGTATGTATGTATGTATGTATATATATATATAAGATATGCTATACAGAGTCGACATAGAAATAATCGTTTTTTCTAGCTCTTATCTTCATAAATCAAGATTAAAAATGGAGCAAACTTGTTTTCAATATTTCGTTATTGCGGCACAATTAGTCTTAACTTGTCCAAACCTCAATTGCTACATAGCCATCAGGAAGACACGTCTCGAATATTGAGTCCAAGTTGGCAAGCAAAACACGGTCAGGGGCAGCACAATCAGTCTTAAATTCATTGTGCTTACTGCCTGTGTGTGGGCTTCTTGCATATGGGGCCCAAATCTCTATTCCCGCGCAATCCGTGCGGTACTCCTACTACTAGTGGTCACATAAATTTTTTTGAATAACCTCCTCTAAGAGCTTAACTTGTTAGAGAGATACTCGTTTATTTATTTAACAGAGTCTTTGGTACACCCCTTACGCGCAAGTCCACTTCATTCTTTCATCAAAGACTGACTAGAATATCGTATTTGGTTTTTGAACGAGAGAGCCAGATATAGCAGCCCCATGAGATGATATATTAGCAGCATATCCTCCAATTCCAAGCTGAAGAAATGGATACGCGTTTTCTTCTGGAACATTAATGGCTTCTTCTCGTGCATCGGGAAATGTTGCTTTACTAGGATTGGTCTCTGGCAGCTATAGGTTGTCCCTCGTTGCTACAGGTAGCATTACAATCCATCCAAGCTCCATATATATTTCATCAAAAGCCTAACACACATACAATTTTTTGTAATTGAGTGACAATTGAACGTGTCAATTATGTTCCGCAGCCTGGAGAACCGATCCTTATTCGGGACAACCAATTTTGACTAAGACGTGACAAAGATTACTGTTCTATTTGATTTTAGAGGCTGGGGCCTTGTGTATGACTTTGTAAATGAAGATTAAACCCATTATCTCTGTTCCATGGATTATGAGAAACTGCATTTAATCACGTTACACAAAGCTGAATCTTGTTCAAGAACGTTTTTTTTGTTCTGGTTTTTAATATTCCAAATATGAACAATACATCTACTCCCAACAGAACTGTCACAGATGTTGGATCCATTAATTCTGAATATAAAGCTATAATTAGGCCTCCTCCTGTAGTGGTTAAACATGATTAGTTGATTTTCATTCCTAAGATTAAGAAGATTTCCTTCACTATTACTCTCTACAAGTCACCAGGTTACCACTAAATTTTACTTTGGAACTGTACTTGAACTGATGGTGTGCAATAATAATTCCTACATCTGTCAGAAGTGAATTTCCTGAGCTTGCTTGGTAAACTCGACTGAATAGCCAAGGGACAATATTAAAAAGTAAAAAGATGTTAGAATTTTATCTATTATAGTGTCGTGTTTGTTCACATCTGTCAGAAGTGAATTCCCTGAGCTTGCTTGGTAAACTCGACCGAATAGCCAAGGGACAATATTAAAAAATAAAAAGACGTTAGAATTTTATCTATTATAGTGTCGTGTTTGTTCACTATCTCATGTTCTTCGCCTTTTAGGCCTTGTAGCCTCCATCTTACCAAAATTAATATGGAGAAAATCACTTGTTGTACTCTTGTTCTTCTTTTTCTTCTTCTTAAATGAATATGAATTGTTAGTACTCATATTTTTTATTTTTAATTAATAATATTATTATTATTTTAATTTTTTACATGTTTATCAGTCATTATTTCTTTTCAAATTAATTTTCTTACTTTTCTGGGAAGCCCTGTCGTAGTCAGCACATTACGTATCCAGACGGGTTTGTGGACTTTCTGGGGAAGAGAAGAAAATTTGAAACTCAATCTTAAATTGTTTTCTGTCCTGACATGGAATTGTATTACTTAATGTTGACCACAACATTATATTATCTACACAACTATGAATCAGCTACTCACTTACACAGACAATGAGACTTCTGTGTAGAATAACCAACATCAACATGTCTTTCCTTTCAATATATCTGATGTTTTTTGCTCTCATATTTGCACATGTGGCAGATATTTTGCTAACTCGGGCAAATCTTGAAACCACGGTCAGTAGTCCGATTACATCTCGACTTGCGTTCATGATATGTACGTTCAACTCAATAGACATGCATATTTATTTTATTGATTGTTGTAGGTTCATATTGTTTATATGGGAGAAAAGCAGCGTGATGATGTAGATCTTATTACAACTAGCCATCATGATTTGCTCTCTTCAGTGCTGGGAAGGTACATCATGGATTTTAATGGTGAATAAACACAGAATTTTAGTGTTTCTTGATTTTGTTTACTGAATAATTTTACAAAAAATTGCAGTAGAGAAGCATCAGCCGAGTCCATGATATACAGTTACAGACATGGTTTCTCAGGTTTCGCAGCTAAGTTAACTGAGTCTCAAGCACAAAGTATTGCAGGTACTTCACAAATACAAAAACCTTGGAAATTCGACTAGGATTGACTTAATCGAGCTTCTTGCTATACTCACGACTCAAAAGATTGAACTCGTAAACTCATCTTGTCCAACGCTGATGCTCGATCCATCTGATCTTATTGTGTTTATTAGTTAATCCACACATTTAGTTTCTAAGGGAATCTGATACATCGAAGAAATATTAGGCTTCTTTTCTTAGGAGGAATTTAATGCATTGCACAAGATGGATATTCTAAGTAAGAAGCGAGTTGGGTGGGAAAGATTGAAAAGCAGTAGAAGAAATATTAAGTTAAAATCTTGTTCATTATATTTACTAATATTGAAAGGGAAGCTGTTAAATGATTCGAATGTTAGAATAAGTACTTATTTGTAATGTCATGTGTTCTTATCTCGCTTGTAATATGGTTGAAATTTTCCTTCCATTTTAGAATTGCCTGGTGTGGTTCAAGTTATCCCGAATCGTTTCTATAAGGTACAAACAACAAGGAGTTGGGATTACCTTGGCCTCTCCTCTTCCTCCCCCTCGAATCTCCTACACGAAACAAAACTAGGGGAAGATGTCATAATCGGTGTCTTGGATACAGGTCCTCTCTCTCACTCTGCATGTACTGAATAACAATAAGTTAAAATCTTGTATATTATCGTTATAGTACTGCCCAGTAACATGCATGAACAACACGCAGGAGTATGGCCAGAATCGGAATCTTTCAACGACGAAGGTATACGACCGATTCCATCAAGGTGGAAAGGTTTTTGTCAAAAGGGTGAACGCTTTGATCCAGCGAAGAACTGCAATAGGAAATTAATTGGAGCTCGTTTCTTCATTGATGGCCTTCAAGCAGCACTTGGAGAACTATTCAATTCATCGAACGAGTACTTATCAGCAAGAGATCATGAAGGACATGGCACACACACGGCCAGTACTGCAGGCGGCTCATTCGTGCATAATGTGACTGTCGGAGGACTTGCATATGGCACCGCTCGTGGGGGGATGCCTCATGCTCGTCTGGCCATATATAAAGTTGTTTGGAACGGATTAGGAACGGCTGCTGACATTCTTAAAGCATTTGACGAAGCAATTCATGACGGGGTTGACGTTTTGTCGTTGTCACTAGGCTTGGGTATACCTTTATACCCAGAAATCGACAAGCGTGACTTAATATACTATGGCTCATTTCATGCTGTTGCAAATGGAATAACAGTTGTTTGTTCAGCAGGAAATTCAGGTCCAGTTGCTCAAACGGTATTGAATGTGGCACCCTGGGTTATAACTGTTGGTGCTAGTACTATTGACAGATCATTTCCCACACCTATCATACTAGGAAACAACAGGACCTTGATGGTTAGTTATTTAAGGTTTTCTTTAAACTCTTGACTTATTATACTTGGTATAAAACCATCGATGGTCACGAAATATTAAAGGAATTTCATGTTGGTCAGTAAACTTCATTTTGTTCTAAAATGATCAGATTCTTCCGACCCAAAATCTAGGAATTTCATGTTGGTCAGTAAACTTCATTTTGTTCTAAAATGATCAGATTCTTCCGACCCAAAATCTAGAAGCATAGTCTTGAAGCACGTATCCAAGGTAAATTCACTTCAGTATCAATTCAATAAGACCTTTACACTTTTTTTCACTGAACCTAGTAGTCCTACAAAGGAGTATCAAGGGTAGCGGCTTTATCCGGACCATGCTCATATCAGAGTAGAACTAGCATAAAGACTAAAGTCGAGAAGCAACCTTTAAACAAAATGAAGTTTAGTGACCACCAACTTAATTAACTCAATATACTTTTTTTGGGACATGTCTTGTTGTGCCTTTCTTATGTGAATTGTAATATTGCTTGAAGGGTCAAGCAATGTTCTTCGGAAAAAACACCGGGTTTGTTGGGTTGATTTACAAAGAGAGGGCAGTATTTGAATTGCCACAGTAAGAATCTTAAAGGCGCCCTTCTTGTTCGATAGGATTGAGGAAGTTTTATCCTTCACAATACTACTACTAATGATGTTTTTGACAATTTCTTTTGTAGCCGTTGTGAATCACTGTCGTCGAACGATATTTGGGTGGCTGGAAAGGTAGTGTTGTGCTTCACATTAAATGGTCAGGGGCTATCCTCAACTTTATCAGATGTTTTCAAGGCTGGGGGCTTGGGAATGATTGTCGCCAGCAATCCTACTCGATACCTATCTGAATTTGCAGGCATGCCATTCATTTTCGTAAATTATAATGTTGGAACGCAAATACTCAACTACATCCGCTCGAACAGGTACCAATAAAAAATCGTACTTTTCCCTTCTAATTTCCATTTCCGATCTATGAAAAATGTGTACTGTGAATCGTGTAGGGATCCAAAGGTTCGGCTTACACCATCAAAAACATATATAGGCAAACATGCACCAACCTACGTGTCATCTTTCTCGTCCAGAGGTCCAAATTCTCTTAGCCCTGCAATCCTTAAGGTATCCCTATTACGATGAATCATCTAGTCCAAAAGCTTCAGTTATGAGACTAATTTTTCATCAGACTTCACCAGAATACTTTATTTGGTTTTTGCATGAGACAGCCAGACGTAGTGGCTCCAGGAGCTGATATATTGGCAGCATATACTCCAGGGCAAGGTGCAGAAAATGGGTATAAGTTTTCAACTGGAACGTCCATGGCTGCCCCTCATGTTTCAGGGATTGTTGCTTTGCTTAAGTCTTTACATCCAGACTGGTCTCCAGCTGCTATAAAGTCAGCACTAGTTACGACAGGTAAAGCATACCAATCCTTTCAAGCCTTTTGATTAATCCACAATTTTCATAATCGAGTGCCTATGAGACTAAACCCTAAACCTTTTATACTGTGATAACATGTTGACTCACCTTATCGAAAAACTTAAACCTTTATACAAGGGATAAACATAAATACTTAGATTCTGACTTCCAACAAAGCCATACAACTTTTATATCTATTCGTGTGTTCCTAACCAATTCATTTAATGCTCATATTGCATGTCAGAAATGAAGTAGTGGATCGAACTAGAAATTACAGTAAATAAGATTTTTAACTTCTTGTAATTCTTTCAGTGCTATCCTGTATTTTACAATCCACCTCACAAATCATGTCGATAATGTGTTGCAGCCTGGAGAACAGATCCTTATTCAGGAGAACCAATTTTGGCAGATGGAGACGTTACCAGGATTGCTGATCCATTTGATTTTGGAGGTGGACTTGTTAATCCAAACAGGGCAAGAGATCCAGGCCTCGTGTATGACCTGGGAATTGAAGATTACACACATTATCTCTGTTCCATGGGTTATGACGAAATTGCGATCAATCACCTTACACAAAAAGCTAAATCTTGTCCAAGAAGAACTACTTCTGTTCTGGATTTGAATCTTCCTTCCATAACTATTCCCAATCTGAACAATCCAGTTAATCTCACGAGAACTGTCACAAATGTTGGAGCCATTAGTTCTGAATATAAAGCTATAATCAAACCTCCTCCAGGGGTTAATGTAGTGGTTAAACCTGATTATTTGATCTTCAGTCCTAAGATTAAGAAGATTTCCTTCACTGTTACTATCTCTACAAGTCACCATGTCACCACTAAATATTACTTTGGGAGCTTGACCTGGACTGATGGTGTGCATAAAGTAAGAATTCCTTTATCAGTCAGAAGCAAATTTTCGGAACTTGTTTGGTGAGATGGTGAACTGAATAGTATTAAGAAATGAAAAGAAGTTAGAATTATGTCCATTGTACCGTCCAGTGTTTTTCCACGATACACACCAAACACGTTACTTAACCTATTGTCTTAATGTAAAAGGCCTTGGAGAAAATCACATTTTGTACTCTACTTGAAGTAAATATGAATTAAATAAGGAGGTTTTTATGTACAGTTATGCAATTGCTTGTTAATTCTTTTAGCCTATAATAATCTCTCATCGGATGTTTCTTTTCCCGATTCCTGATGGAATCTGTTGAAACGGGTTATGTTTTGATGCATCAGTAATAAAGTGAGTATAACCATTTATCTATTACTTCGATATACCAAGTGTAAAACATAAGCAGGCACATAAATTTCATGCTGTACACTCCACATGAACAAAAAGCAAATGCCGCATCTTAATTTGTTTGAGCAAATATACATTAAAGTGATTTAGATCATACTATTATTTCTTACGAGGACTGTCAATTTAAGCTTTACTCTAAATTAAATTCAAGCTGAATACAAGAGTTGCTATCTGCCTCAGCTCCAAACTTGAAACGAGTTTCTAGTACATGCCATTGATCGGTGTTCTTAGACAATCTACAATCATATCTACTCCAATATGCTGAAAAAATGTCATTTTGAAGATACAACGAAGTACACTGACCTCCTAGCAGTCTCTTAATGTTGTTTGTATACTGTCAATTATGGTTCTCGAGTGACTCAGCCATCTCAGGCTCCGGTTCCTCCAATTTATCATTTCCTTTCGGAACAATAAGTCCATAGCCTCCAGCTCTCCTTTTATACACTATGTTAATCTCACCTGAAGCAGCACATCCAACAAAATGACAATTATAGGGCTGCTGGATTAGAACAATATGCATAGAAGTAGCATGAGTTCTTACCAGTTTCCTCATTCCGAAAACCATAGAAGTCGTGATCAACATTTTCAAGCTGCTGGATTGCCTCAGCAACAGTTAAGGGTGGCATATCAAAGTATTTAGTGCGAACAATCTGAAAAGCAAGATCATAAATAAGATACAGGCAATTTATTGTGTGTATGTTTGGTAGATAGTATTGGGCCATACTAGAACGTACAATGAACAAAATTTTAAATTTTCCTCTTTTACTATTGTTCAGTGCTGGGCCATACTAGAACGTACAATGAACAAAATTTTAAATTTTCCTCTTTTACTATTGTTCAGTGCTATCTAATCTCCTATCTAATCTACCTCACCCTTTACAAACTACCCTAAAAAATGGGTACTTATTGTTCCATTCACTTCTTCTTCCGTTTTAGCTGGAGAGAGAGCAATAACGAGCTTCTTCTTCCTTTTTTTTTTTTTTTTTTTTGT